TGCTTTAATAGACTAACTCCTTTTATCTGCTGCCAGGCTGGTCTGGACTTCCTTCCAGCAGCTGTAACGACAATGTTCTCCAGGATCTGCCCCATGTCAATGGGCCCTGTCTAATCATTCCAGATCCCAACTCCTTCCAGTTTGACTGTTCAGCTACTGTTAATGGGCACAACCATATTAATGGGAGCATGACTCACCAAAGCCCAGGGATGAATTCATTCCACCAGTACTGATCAAGCACCGACTACGTGGCAGGCTCAGTCCTGACTTCAGGAACTGACGGATCACTGTGAGGGGCAGATGAGCAGACAGGCAGTGACAGTATAGTGTGATAGGTACTATGACGGAAGAAGTACCAGGTGCTATGATGGAAGAAGTCCTGGAGCACAAAACAAGGCTATTTAATCTGGAGGTAAGTAAGGGAAGGCTCCCTGGACCGAAGTGACTTTTAAGGTGAGACTTGAAGGGTGAGCTGGAGTAGGTCAAGAAAAGAAAGAGCTGAGTAGAGAGATCAGCATGTCCAAAGGCCCAAGAGGAAATGAAACAAATTCAGTGTGACTAAAGAATGGGAGTAATCAGGGGAAGTATGGCAAGAGAAAAGCCTGGAAGGCAAGTGAGTTCTGGTCATGAAGGACCTTCTGAACCAAGTTAAGGGAGTTGGTACTTTCACCTACAGGCACTGGGCAGCTATAAATGTGTTTTAAGAGGGAGAAGTGAGGCTATCTGATTTTAAGACTCGGTAGTGTAACCCTTTATTCTTGGGAAAAGTGACATTAAGTTTTCTGATTCATTTGTATAGGGGATTCTAGATGTGTGGTGACAGGTAGGGAATGAAGAGAATTTCCTAGAGATGCTGGGAATTAGAGATGAGAAAGGGGAAGGGGCTCAGGAGAAAGGCACCCAATATCATTTTTATTATCCTGTAGATTTCACCTTCAACATATCTTGCCTCCTCCCTTCTTTTCCATTCTTTTTTAAAAATCACAAAGCAAGGTCCCAATCACGAGTGTCCTCATAATACAGAGGCAGAGGGAGATTTAACACACAAAGAGGAAGCAATGTGACCAAGGAGGCAGAGATTGGAACTACCAGGTTGGAAAATGCAAGGAATGGCTTATCACCTTGAACCTCCAAGGGAGCATGGCTCTGCCAACACCTTGATTTCAGATCAGTAAAAGAGATTTTGAACTTCTGGTCTTCTGAACAGTGAGAGAATAAATTCTGTTGTTTTAAGCCACCAAGTTTGTAGTAATTTGTAAAGGCAGCCATTGGAAACTAATACGACGTCAAAAGAATATAAATCTCAGGGAGGCCGGGTGGCTCAGTTGGTTAGAGCACAAGCTCTGAGCTACAGCATTGCCAGTTGGATTCCCACATAGGCCAGTGAGCTGTGCCTTCCGCAACTAGAATGAAGACAACTTGAGCTACGCTGCTAGTAGGTGGCCGGATGGCTCAGTTGCTTACGGCATGTGCCCTTAACAACAAGGTTGCCGGTTTGACTCCTGCATGGGATGGTGGGCTGTGCCACCCCCCCCCAAATTAGCAACTAGATTGAAAACGGCAACTGGACTTGGAGCTGAGTTGCACCCTTCGTAACTAAGATTGAAGGACAACAACTTGACTTGGAGCTGATGGGTTGGGTCCGGGTGTGGGGGGGTAGAGAATATACATATACATACATATATATATATTCATTCTTAAGATATATATATCTTAAGAATGAATTTAGCAAAATAAGTGCAAAACTTACGGTCTGAAAACTAGAAAATATTGTTGCAAACAAATTTAAAAGACCTAAACAAACAGACATCTCATGCTCATGGATTAAAAACCTTAATATGGTTAACATGGCAATACTTTTCAAATTGAGCTACAGATTCAACACAATCCCCATGAAAATTCCAGCTGGCTTTTTTTTTTTTTGCAGAAATTGACAAACTTATCCTAAAATTCATATGGAAATGCAAGGGACCCAGAAGAGACAAACAATCTTGGAAGACTCACACTTCCTAATTTCAAAATGTATTACAAAGGTACAGTAACCAAGACAGTATGGTACTGGTATAAGGACAGACATATAGATCAATTAAATAGACTTGACAATCCAGAAATAAACCCATACGTTTATGGTAAATTGATTTTCAAAAAGGGTGCAAGATAATTCAATGGGTAAAGAATAGTTTTTTCAACAAATGGTAGAGGGGCAACTGGATATTAAAATGCAAAAGAATAAAGCTGGACCCCTATATCACACCACACACAAAAATTAACTCAACATGGATCAAAGACCTAGCTAAACTCTTAGTATAAAACAGAAGCATAAATCTTCATAATATTGTATAAAGCAATGGTTTCTTAGATATGACACCAAAATCATTAACAACCAAAGAAAGATCAGATAAATTGGACTTCATCAAAATTAAAAGCTTTTGTGCTTTAAATGATACAAATTATACACATCAAGCAAGTTAAAAGACAACACACAGAATGGGAGAAAATACTTGCAAATCATATATCTGAAAAGGGACTTGGATCCAGAATATGCCAAGAATTTTTACAACCAATAATAAAAAGACAAAAGACAAATAACCCAATTAAAAATGAACAAATGATCCGAATAGACATTTCTTCAAAGAAAATATACAAATGGCCCATAAGCACATGAAAAAATGCTCAACATCGTTAGCTATTAGGGGAATGCAAATCAATATCACAATGAGATACTAACTTCATACTCACTAGGGTGGTTATAATTAAGAAGACAGATTATAACAAGTGTTGGCAAGGCTATGGAGAAATCAGAACCCTCGTTCATTGCTGATAGTATTGTAGAATGGGGGTTCCTATTTGGAAAACAGTCTAGCAGTTTCTCAAATGATTTAACAGAGTTACCATATGACCCAGCAACTCCACTCCTAGGTATATACCCAAGAGAAACGAAAACATTCGTCTCCACAAAAACTTATATACTAATGTTCATAGCACTATTCACAATAGCCAAAAAACGGAAACAACCCAAATGTCCATCAACTGATGAATGGCTAAATAAAATGTGGTATATCCATACAATTAAATATTATTCAGCAATACTAAGTGAAAGTGCCAGTCACAAAAGACCGCATATTGTATGATTCCATTTTAAAGAAATGCCCAGAATAGGCAAATCTATAGGACCACAAAGATTAGTGGTTGCCTAAAATTGGAGGTGGGGGGTGGGGGGTGGGAAAAAAAAAGTGGAGTAACTGCTAATGGGTACATTCTTTTAGGAGGCGATAAAACTGTTCTAAAATTGATTGTGGTGATATTTGCACAACTCAGTGAATATACTAAAAATCACTGAATTATATACTTTAAATGGATGAATTATATGGTATGTGTAGTACATCTTAATCAAACTGTTAAAAAATTTACTCAGTATATATACGCAAATGTTACAAATGATGTTATGGAACTGTTGAAATAAATAGAAAACAATGAAGTTAATGATCTTGTGTTCTTTGCCAGTTGGTTGAGCACTGGAAGAGTTTTACAAAGATTTACTATACTGTTAAACGGCAAGACTTTCTTGTAACAAAATGATGACAAGTATTTAATAATCAAAAACAAAACAAGGCAGTGTAACTTGTTTTGTCATTGATATAATGCATATGAACAGACTAAATTTCAAGTTACAAGGAAAGGAAAAACTTATTTGTAGCCTAACTAGACAAGTATGAGAACTTATGTTGAAATGGAAACTTGTCATAATACAAATCCTGATAAACAGTACAAACATTATTGGTTAATTGACTGAGTAGGCTGTTAAAGTACACTGAGCTTCCATGCTGGGCCTGAAACAGCGAATATATGTTAGAAGCAGAGGCATGGAGACTGGATACCCCCTGCCCTCTTCCTGAGTCCAGCAAGATTTAGAAACCAGGATTTCCCCACCCTGGATACTGAAATATGGGGGTTATTGCTTAATTCCAAAAGGTGACTCCAAGTCAGATCTGATTTCTAGTGCTAGGTCCGCTCTGTAGTTAGTTGCGGGGCAAATTCAACACCATCATTTTGCCCTTGCAGTGCTTTTGTCCTAAGGCAGATAATGAGAATTAATACCCATCAAATTTACTCTACCCGTGAGAAGCAGGAATGAGCTGACATATTTGAGAATATTCAGAAAACTTGAGGTATGGCATAATGAAATATGCATAGGCTAGGTTTGAACCAAGTTCTGCAGTGGATCTGTGTGACTAGGGGCAAATCACATAAACCTGAACCCGCTCCCTTATTTGTAAAACGTACTCCCTTTCATGTCCCCAAGCTGGTAGGAGTGAGGAGTGTTGGGGCAGTATCTGGGGGTCCTTCCGCAGGTCCCCCAGGTGCGCACGACGGGTGTCCTGGTTGCCCGCGTCTAAATCCTGGCTCTGGGCTTCTGTGGCCCAACTCTATTTACAGATAAAGAAAGCTCAGAGACCGAGTGACTTCTCCATAGTCACACAGCAATACTGTCAGAAAATAGATCCGAGAGCCTTGGGGTCTGTGAGGAATCTGGCGCGGCCCGCCTTGGAGACGGACATGGCGGCAGCACAACGTGGTCACCTCTTCTGAGCGAAGCCGAGGCCTGCCACCTAGCAGCCCGCTGAGGTCCCGCAAGTGAAGCATCGTGGAAAGGCTGCGGTAACCTGGAGCCAATACACTCTCAGTTTGCTCCACTAGCTCCTTTTTTCCATTGGGCTTCTCTAATTGTCAATCAATCATTTGCCAAGTTTTTATTGGTTTAGCTTCGATCATTACTCAATCTAAATCACACGGTTCTCTCCAAGAGCATCTTTACGTCATTAGCTCTCCTCCTAAGTCTGACGAATTTATCCAGTTCTTCTATTCCATTGGCTGGACTCGCCCCTTTCTCTCGTACATCCTGTTTGGGCGGAAGTGAGTGAGCCTCTATTCCTATTGGCTTAGATTTGCAAGGGCGATTGTCTATCAGCCTATCAACAGGAAGTACGGCCCCGGAAGGGACGGGCTTTGTGAAAATGGCGGCGCCAGTGAGTACGGTGTGTCTTGTCTCTCGGCTTGCTGTCGTGAACATGTCCTTTTCCCTCAATGGCTCGAGGGAAGTTATTGGCCGAAGGAAGGGTGGTGATGAAAGTAGCTGCAGGGAGGCGACCTTCCTGGCACAGCGGGGCAAAAGCCACAGTAGGGAGACGGGGCTGTAGTTACCACTGTTCTTTAGTAACCTGAGGGCCTGGCGGGATATGAGGCGATGCTGCTTGTTCACCGGAGTAGGAAGGTCGGAAGCCTGGGGTGTTCGAAGGAAAAGTGGGGCTTCTCCATCTCAGACGTCCTGTGTTCTCATAATCCTGAGAAAACAATGGCTTTTCTTTACTCCCTTTCCTATAGGAGGTGCTGGAGTCAGACCTGCAAAGTGCCCAGGCACTTTTGAAAAACCTCCAGGAGCAGGTGAGTAATGGCACTCCTTTGAAATAGGTTAATCACCGATTGGCTTTGACTTTTTTTTTTTTT